TGAAAAAAAAATATATATATGACTGGAAAAATTAATTTGTAGTAATAGTAGTATAGTATCCAAGTACTGATAGGTACGGTATTCGGTATTTTCCCATTACATGTATAATGAATATTATTGGCTCTTGAAGAGGATATTTGAAAGCTGAGACAGAGAACTTCACTCTGTAGCCAGGAAACAAGTGACTTAAAAAACTTGACTAGTCATTTAAGAATATTGTTGGTATTCCCATTGTTTCGTTCACTGGTTGCAAGAAGCAGCACTCTAATTGCAGTGCTAGTTAAGAATGAAATAGTCGCAATGACATGTATTGAAATTGAGTTCTGGAGTAGAGGGATGTCATAGGATATCCCAGGAAAATCTAGACAGTTCCCAAGATTATAGGGAATAGTTGCAGCTGTATAATGCACTCCTTTGGCAAATCTTCCCTAATTATTTTCCAGATTTAATATCAGAATCATGATATAGACACTTCCAAATTCAGTTAGTTCCTCGTACCAGAAGACCATTTCTGACATAGTTGGTCACTTGCAAACAGTTTTCCTGAAACAGTTGACCCTAGACTTCTTTGCATATGTAGCTTTGGCATTAAAGGCATAGCTTTGAAATCTGCTTTATTATGGGTTCCAAATAATTCAAGTGCAAAGTTGTGACTGATGTATGCAAACTCATAGCAGCACATATAAATGATACAATTTTTAAATGAAAATTGGTGTAGGATATGGTTAGCAGGAATTCCGTAAGTGTCCATCATTGTCTTCAGCTCTGTTATTTGCAATGAAGTGTACTGATTCAACATTACTAAATTATTATTGACAGACAACAATTAAATTTTGTCTGGTTCTTAGAGTAGCTTATGCTCATAAAAACATAAATATGAAGGACAACAGACAGTTCTTGTTTGAATTATCCCTAACCTCTAGATGCAAGAGACCTGTCTGTAAAGAATCCTTGCACGGAATTAATTTGTATTAAAGCTGTCCATTTACTGGATTATGCTAAGACCAAGAGAACATGATCAATATCTAGTTACTTCAAGCTTGCTGTTAGTATCTTGGCTGGGAATGTCACCATGACCTGGCAGCTTTCAGGAACCTGTCTGAAGCTCACGTGAACAGACTCTGTCATGGGCATAAAATAGTTGTTTACCAGCATCTCAGGCCCATGCGTATAGGTTGGCCTGGGGAGCCATACTGCCCATTACAATGCAGGTTCAGCTGCAGCTGTGCTTACTACTGATATACGATAGCAGGCAAAGACTTGTATCTCTATAGGAAAATGTGATTTGTAACCATCACATAGCAATTTTTTAGACTTGACAGTCATGTTTAGACACTAATATTGAGTGAAAGATGCAAAATTTGTATCAGAAGAGGTTCTAAGCATCTTATGCATTGCCTTATGAAAGTAACTCTGATGTAACTCAGAAATAGCCAAATCTGTTGTTGTAGAGTTACTAGGTTTAAACTTTGTGACTTAGTTGTGTGTCACTTCCTTGAATCTGTAGGTTGAAGCACCTTTGGAAGAAGCCATTAAATTTTTAACACCCCTGAAGAATTTAGTGAAGAACAAAATAGAGACACATCTTTTTGCCTTCGAGATTTATTTTCGAAAAGGTATGCGAGAAAACTAATGAAAGAACAATTTGCAATGTATATTAGAATGTAAGCAAAAATTATGATGAGATAGGAGGAGATGGTCCCTATTGAGACACACAACTTTTCATTGGACTGACACCCCAGCCATGAGCAGTCTGTGAAAAACCAAGTTTGAACATTTGACAATTATCCACTTTCTTTGCTGTATTTAAATCTATAAGCAATGAGACTGTAGTTAATTCTCCCAGCTTGCATTTGGCCTAGTTATTTGTTTGTATCTATAGTTCCCAGAACTACACACTGTAAAGAAGAGGTGTACAGTTGCTAATGAGAACTGGTCTTTTGAAACACTTTGCTTTTGAATTCTTGTATCAGTTAAATATTATGCTTTAAGAACTTATGTTCAAATTTACTTTCTAGTTTAACAGGCTTGATTCACTGGTTAAATAAATGCATATTAGAAAAAATGGCTGTTGCAGTACACTCAGATTTAATTTCTTCTGATCATTCTAATTTCAAACACTAAATACTCCTGCAACATAATGCAGTGAGTTCCAGCCACAGGTTTCTGAACATTTGCCAACACTTTCTTTTCCAGAGAAGTTCCTTCTGATGCTTCAGTCTGTGAAGAGAGCCTTTGCTATTGATTCGAGTCATCCTTGGCTGCATGAGTGTATGATTCATCTCTTCAGCAGTGGTATGTATCTGTTTGATATGACTTCACTGTACGTGCTTCCAGGTGATGCCTAACCCGCATACAGTCATTGATTTTTTTTTTTTGTTAGTTTATAGACTGTTAGCACAATTAATTAAAAATATTTAATACACGTATTAGAAAGCTTTTTAAACAACTGATTCATGCAAAAATTAAGTATGTTTATTATGACTGCAGCTGGATTTAGTAGTTATTCCAACAAGTATTAGTAAGTCTTTTTAAGACTAAGTAGTATAGTGAACCCCTGAAAGAGTGAGTGAGTGAAGAAATGGAAACTGCAGAGTGAGGAATCTGGCTTTTCTGCAGGCAGCCTGCGTCGGCGTGCAAGGAGAAGGCTTAGAATTATGTCCTCTTTGTTAGAAGGTTGGAAGGATTCTCTCTCTTCCCTTGCCCCAGAGGTCACCCTTCCTGTTGAAGGCTACAGACTGGATACATTTAAGAACAGACTTGCATGATCTCAGTCTTTGAGCCTAATAGATTTTAATCAGTAAGGGGGAGAGTGTATTGGAGTAAAAAGGCTTTGGCTTTTTCTAAGCACCAGAAAACTGTCACAGTTAAGCTTTTTTCAACCAGATCCAGTTATTTACCTTTTTGAATTTCATGCATCTTCCTTTGAGATTTTTTCAATTATATTAATAATGTAAACATGACAAATATTAAAATAAATGCATAAAGTAGATGTTACTGTGGTTACCTGTGCTCACCTCTATTAACGTCTTTTCCAATTTAATAGTATCCGAAAGTAAGGATCTGCCTGATGCAGTTAGAACAGTGTTAAACCAAGAAATGAATCGGCTTTTTGGAGCAACTAATCCAAAGAACTTCAATGAAGCTTTCCTTAAAAAGAACTATGACTCACTACCACATAGGTTATCAGGTATTTTGCCTTTATCCTTTTTCTGCCCTGCTTCTGTATTTTTCGGTCCTTATCTAGCAGTGGCATCTCAGTATCAGCACCGGTGATGTAAAAATCACTCTT